TCAGTGTAGGCCTTGCATGAGGTACATTCTGCATCTAAGGGCTTTATAATATAAAATACATTAATTTTCTAGGAACTTCAGGTTAATTTTAAAAAGTACATGTACTAAACTACCCTGACTAAATTATGTGAATGTGTGACTCAAGTGTGCAGTGTGATTCTTGGGAATGTCCCGTGCAGGATGAAGAGTTGGATTCAAGAATCCCTGCGGGTGCCTTCCAACTTGGCATATTCTGTGATTCCAGAAGCAAATATATATAAGTTGGCTGCAACTTCTTAGAGGTCACATAATACTCTTGCAGCTTTCTAATAATACTTGAATAATATATGCAAAACAGTATAAAGTATTCCATTTTCACCTATGTTTCTTCGCTTTGTCTTCAGTTTGTTTAGGTGCTTTACATAATAAAGATAATCACACCCAAGAACAGCAAATTGCCTTAGTAGTTTTGCAGTAACAATTTAACAAGAAGACGCTTTCAGTAAACTTCTGCAATCATATTATAAAAACTCACTCACAGGCCTACCAAACCTACTACTAAGGAAGTTTTGAGTATACACCATGAATTCACTGTGTTGGGAATTTTGGCATGCAGTCTGATCCTATCTGACCTAAAGACGCAGATGACTCTCCTCACACTATAGAGCAACTTGCTTCACCAAAGAATGGCCATTACTTCCCTTCTAAGGTTTCTTCAAACTGTTTCTCTAAAACAAAAAACTTAACTGCTCCAGCTGAAGATTTCTCACCCCAGATTTCTGCCTGAAGCAGATGGGGTTTGGACAGCTTCAGCTGAAAATGTTTACAATTTTCCAAGCAAAATAAAGCTGGGAAGAGTCTGTGCTAAGAAACTCAATTGTTCTATGAATAGGCTTAGCACTCCCCTTCCTGAGGGAAAGACTTCACAAGTGTAGCTTTTCTAGCCTTTGGGAAATTCACCCAAGTTGTAAATATTAAGGACAACTTAAAAATACAGTATACAAACCTGAAGTTTGGAAGCTTAAACTCATACAAGATTCCACCCACTACTCATGTGCCAGCCCAGGTCACCCAGAAGCTAGAGGCCTCATGTAATAAAGGCATGCCCTACTGCCAGATTTTTAACTGTGTGTTTTACTGAAGCTACTTTACCACACACATGTTCTCATGCAAAGCTAAAGCTCCCACACTCCTCTTACCCCTCTATTGTTTCTTAAATTTTACAGAAACAAAACCATAAATATTTGGATATTACAGTGTGGGTCTAACAAACCAGACTTTAAATACTCAACTTGCACAGCTAAGTAACATGATACATACCACCACACTTCTTTGTGCATGAAAACAAAGCTGAATTTCTTCCAGTGAAGTAGGCCTGATTTGCAGCAATTTTCACCTCAAATAAATGAACAGCTTCAATATTCTCACCTCCTCCTGCTGACTTCAGTCTCCCATGAAACAGGTTAGGAGTGGTTTCCTCACCAACAAGGTTAATGACCTCAAAAGTTGTTTCAGTCACTGACTCCTATATATACTGTCAAAGAAACCTTTGGGCTCCAATGTCTTTTTTCCCCTACTTTGGTAAGCACTATGGAAAGGATACTGAGATAATGGATTTTTTTAACAGCAATCATATACAAACTTTCACCAAACTCAAATTCCAGCAGGGTGGGCTGGGATGGGATGAGAGAAGCCAACAAAAGACATTAGTTCTTATCTTCCACAAACAGTAGATGTTGCTGAAATACAAGAGTGTGCATGTTTAGTTATATGCAAAACGTATAATAGGTATTAATACTCTTACAGTCTTACAGAGAAGCTTAACTCTCTGATATATTTTCAAATTTAAACTTCCATGTATTTTTACTGCTCTATTTTTCCAGCACTGTAACTGAAAGAAACTAGAAATCCCACAATGACTGTAACTTGGTTCTACAGAAAATCTGCTCCGGTAGGTTAAAATGCCAAGATATCTCCTTCACTTTTGTGAATAAACTGAGAATTTCTATTCTCAAGAACAGCTTCACGTGCTTTCCAATTAGGAGGATGAATATGCTGCTGGAAATCAAATTGTCATCTTGCTTTTCTGAATTTCTCTAAGAACGAGGTTATTCAGAGTTATCATGTAGCACAGAAAAATATTAGATGTGAAAAGCCTGTAGTGGGACAAGGTTAAAATATGTTGTATTCCAGCATAAGGAAATACTTGTGGCCCCTATAGGAAAATCTTTCCAGATAATAATCTACCATCGTCAAGAGGGAAAGCAAGGGACATCACTTCACATTTCTAAGTTCAGTAGATTTCTCTGCAGTCTGGCTAACTGCAGAATTAAGAATCAAAAAAAAACCAACAACTTTCTCTGAAAGTTCCGCCTCAATCTAGAATATGCCTTGACTTCTGTGGCTAGTAGAGTCATTCAGCTCTGCAGAAACGCGGAGCCCAGAGAGCACAGGATGCACATCTCATAGAATAATACTACCTTGGTCAACCTTCAGTGTCACATGTGAATGGTAGGTCCTCCTGGCAGTAAAAGAAAAGACGCCAGCCCATTCAACAAAGTCCTGGCATTAGTAGTACTCCTGGCACTTACAAGAAAAAACCCCAATGTAATACAAGGTACTACACCAACACAACAGTAATAGAAAGTACTTAATGACAATCCTAGATTTCCTCCAGTAGTTCTAGGGTATTTTAACCCTTAAAAACAGAAATGAGAAGTTCTGACCACTTAAGTGTTTGCATTTGTCTTTGAAGACCACACAACAGCAAACTATAATATAGCACATTAACTGGACACAAATACTCCTAAAAAAAATGCAAAATAATGGCTCCAGCTCAAAATCTTAGCTGAAATTGTTCTCTGCTGCAAGCTAAGAACATGATGCTGTTGAAATTCAGCCCATAAACAATGACTCACTTAAGTTTCTACATCCTTATAACCTCATATACCTCCCATTTTCAGGAGGACATTAGCCAGGCATCTCACCACTTGCAAGATCCAAGAGTTTCTAGAAGTTTCCGGAGAGACTACAGTAAATAGTATTTAGTAGCGGGATCACAGTTCTACTAGCAGACTGTACAGATTTAATCATACTGAGTGCTAACCAAATAAGAAAAGGATTTTGCCTAGATAGTATTTTTTACAACACATACAGCAATCTTCTAGGGCTTTGAAAGATTTCACCTCAGTATACTGCTTTCTGTTCATCTCACATCTAACTAAAGTAACATTTTTTTTATTCTTAATATTAAAATAAACATTATTTTATTTTATCACAGCCCTAAGAGAATTAAGTTATTTAGTTTCATGTTCTCAATATCCAGTTTTACTTGTGCAAGAGCAACCCTTCTGACCTTTTTTCTTATAAGCACCATGGAAACAGGAAAGCAACCCATAATCAAGAAGGAAACTTCAGAATTAATTATGGCAATTACAAGAAAATTAACATTTATGGGGAGTGAAACTATAAAAAACAATTCCCCTAACTCTTCACTGAACATGATCCCAACTGTGTCCTAAACTGGATATACTAAGTACCAAACTCACAAATGCTGCTTATGTATGCAATTTCAGCTATAATATTTCACTATCCCGTTTTCTCAAGCAAGACATCTGCTATCTAAAATGTTCACACTAATTGGTCTGGCCACTGTCAGACTACACAGAAAAGCACAACTCATTACAGACTCATCTTCCCTGCTTCTCAGATAAAGAATTTGGGGTAAAAACCTTGGGTTTGTCCCATATAAACATCTATACCCAAAGAAGTGTGCTAGCACAGAAAAAAGCCAAGCAGGTTACAGAACTCCAAGACTCTTGTTCCTTGATTTGGCCCCTACAGAAAAACACATATTTGTACATAATGTTCCTTAGAGATCAGCCCTCACAAGTGCTCGCTCTCACCAATCTGTAGACCACAAAAATCTAGTAATTTGCTATTGGTTCAAAAATCTAAGCTTAGTGTCTAGCCAGCAATGCTTGCCTCCTGGTTAACAGTTAGATCACTATTTTTTAAGTTTCATCCACATGTTTGTAAAGATACACACTTTATCTCCTTTGAGGCAGAAATCTCACTGCCCTGCATTACTCAGCTTAGGTGAACGCTTTAAGTTCACTCATCTGCTGTAAGAAGATGCAACTTCGCAGTCACTTTTCCCGAAATGTACCACACATTCTGTGCCTTTCCTGTCAGGTAACAGCTATGCTTCACTTTCACTACTCGAGCACTGCGCACACCTCGCAGTTTACGTAACGCGGCTTCAAAGGTTACACCCATCAGCGAAGTTACAGCCTGCGGCGACCTATTCGGAACAAAATCTTTCCATCACCCCAGGGGAGGGGAGGTACCACCTCACAGAAAACTTCGAGCTAGTCACCCCTGTCATACCGGCTTCCCGGAACAGGAATGAAGCGCCTCACTAAACATATCCCACCCGGGACACGACGGGACTCACAAGTCCAGGACACCGTGGCACCACAACTTCTGCCCGCGCTAATTAACCTAGCGCGCTGCCTCTCCCCGCCCCGCCACGTGCGGACCCGGGGCGGCGTTTTCCCTGGAAACCGCTCGCGGTGGGCCCGCTTCCCGCCCTGCCCTGCCCTGCCCGGCCGGGCTGCGGCGGGACGGAGGAGAACGCGGGAGCTTCCTCCTTCCCCCCGCATCCCTCCCGCTACCCTGTCACTTCGGCAGGATGAAGGCGGGAGCCGAGGGAGGAGCCTCTCACCGCTCAGGTGGGAAAACAAACACACAAAGGGGTCTCACCAAGATCCGCAGAAGGGTGAAAGGTTTTACTCCCTGGGGTTTGTATTTCATCGGGGAAAACGGGAGTCCCGGAGCATTCTGTCAGGGGGGGCTCCCCGCTGCCCTCCCTTCCCCCCAGACCCAGGAGTAAACAAAGCGGGAGCTCCTAGAACGGTACATGGGTGGAGACGGGGACCCCGAAAACGCACAAAGAGCCGGGCCCGTGGTTTAGGGGAGACCCCCGAGGGTCCGCCTAAATAGGGGAGTTCCCGCCTCACCTGCTTGCCCCGGTAGAAGAGCCGCTGGCGGTCGGGGCTCACGCGGAAGGTCTCCTCGATCTTCTCCCGCAGGCACTCGATCTTGGTGAGGCGGCTCAGGTCGTCGATGGTCTGGGTCTCCGTGCCGTCGATGGTGCGGACCTGGATCCACATGGTGCGCACCCTCTCGCCTGCTCGGGCGGCTGCGGGCAAAGG